AAAAAAAAACATTTAAAAGGAAAAAAAAAAAAAAAAAAGGAATCGATACAGTAGTTTTTTTCTTGTTTGCCTTCATTTCATAAATTCTCACACATAAATTTTAAACATATACATAAATATGTATACATAATGAAGTACACATAAATATGTATACTTCATAGCTCTCTTAACAATAAGAAAAATATTTAATTCATTTTTATTCTGTTACTGCCTTTCCAAAGATGACCAGCAGGCAGACTGCAGTAACAAAGGAGACAGTTTCAAAGCCTTCAGGGAAGGAAGGAAGGTAATGATTGATCTCTCATACCTTTCAGGTGGTTCTAGTCGTTGTTCTGCAGGCGAACTCTTCTCTCTCATTCCCTGCAAATTAAGTTTGGTTTATTACAACATTTATCTGAATGCATTAATATTCTGTACACAAAGAAATACAACAACTCTTTGTGATGTTTTCTTCTTTAAATATACAATTAAATATACCTCATCTACTTAAGCTTGTCCCCAGGCCCAGTATTCCAGGTAAACTTCAGTTAAATTTGCAGCTAAAATAGACAACGATACTTCAGTGGGCACTAAGGGTGAACTTTATACTTTGTTAAATTTGCAGCTAAAATAGACAACGCTACTTCAGTGGGCACTGAGGGTGAACTGATAAAATCCTTTATACTAAAATAAATGTCAGAAGCTGTACCACAAAACATAATTACTTTAAACAAAATGTGATGTAAGTGATATGGGATGGGGAAAATCAAACCAAGTTTTCTAATCAAAATTTATGTTAATTTACAAACCCATAAAAAGCATGCACTTTTTAAATAATCCTACTTTTCCCCCACACACTTCCCCACCCCAACCTTCCAGAAAATCCCAAGCAGTTGCTGCTGTGAACATTTTAGAACTCTCCATCAAAGAAAGATTGCACAGGCTCAACCACACGGAGACAGAGACATTTAAATGCAGGAAGCAACCAGTATGACTGTCCAGTCTGATCTCTTGTCAAACAAAGCGCACGACATAATAGTCGATCATTTTTACATCTAGACTGATAGTGGGTCCACATGGTGCTAGTCTTCTTTTGAAGAAGGTTTGACAGGGACTGCCTCTACATCGAAGTTATTGTAGTTGATAATTAGAATTTTTGTTGAAATCTCACTTGGAGAGAGTGAGATTACACACCTCATCTGGAGGAAATTTGATACATCTCAGCATGTTCCATCAGGGAGAACTATACACAGAGGAGAGTATGGAAGGGAAGGTGTCACCTCTGATTTTTTTTTTCCACTGAGTACAACCCTAATCAATAGCACATCACTACACTGAAAATAACCACTAGACATTTACTGTTCCATTAAATCCATGAAAATTCAAATATTCCTTTCGGAATGATTCCTACTACCTTAACTTTCACCTCAAACATACTATCAGTATTCCCTGACAGGAAAGAGTATATTAGGAGAAGAATTAGTTAGAAATACTTCAAGCTTGTAAAATCAGGCAGATAAGGGTGAGAAAAAGTACTTACTTTGTGCTTTATGTCTACTCTCTGACGAACTTTACTGGAATCAGTAGCTGGAGTCAAAGACGGTTTAAAATACTGAGTCCGACTCATTGACAGAGAGATTGCCTTTGGTGTCACAAGTTTCTGGACAGGCGGATGCTGAGTTTCCATCTTTGAAAGGGAAGCAGCAATCAACTTACATTTGCATCTGCCCAAGTTAACTACAATATTCATTTATGAAAAAATACAACACTACAAATATCTCATCAGTTCTGGCTCTTAGTGAAAATGTTTGAGGAAGCAGGGAGCATTCAACCTGCAGAGGTAAATTTGCCCCCAAACCAGGTACCAAATCCAAGAAGAAAAAAGGGAGCCAAGCTCTGACTCTATCCTAATTTAATTTTCTTGCACATAACTTTATAGACACAATAATTCATGTTACTATAATCAAAATCATAAATATTACTAGAATATGCTCCTATGTTTCCTTTCCCATATTCTAAGTTTACTAATAGTTTAAAGCATTAATTTAACATTCAACGTGTTAAGCAGCCAATTAGCCACACTTCTAGACTTCATTTTTTTTCCTAATTTTCTCCTCTTTCCAGTTAAATATTCTCTAGAGCATTTTCCAAAAAAATGCTGACAAATAATCCTAGAGGAAACATTGTTCACTCAAATATGAATCAAAGTTTTAGGTTTGCATCAAACAAGCCTAAAGTATTGGTCTGAGTTCCATTTTCAGCACATTTTCATAGGCCAAAATTAATTTTTAACAGAAAGTACCATACGCTCTAGAAGTGACCCTTTCCAATTAAAAACTGATTTAATTGTCAAACAGAAGAGTGAAACCAAAAGACTAACTCTTACAGAAAGCTTCATCTGCAGCCATCTGAAGAATGTAAGTTATTTAAATTGCTATCAACAAAAAACTGTACTAACAATGCAGTGTTCATTTTACTGTATCACCTAATCCTTCATAATAAAATTCACACCAGACCATCTCTAAAACAATTAAAAGTACATCTTTTTAGAAATTATTATATTGATTTTGAAGCTTTGAATAAAACATGTTTTCTTTAAGCTCACAATTCTGTTTTGTGAGAAGGATGGTTCATTGGTGGTTTTAAATGCAAATAACTAAAATTTAAAAAAAGTCACCCAGCGAGGTGTGTGAGAGCTATCCTGCCTCGTGCAGACCCTTGCAATAATAATAATAAAAGTGTGCCACATGGCTGCTACCCACTGCAGAAGTTTTGCTTCAATGCACAACTGTTCTGACAGCCACACATTTGCTTTAGCAGCAAAACACATTACTCTCTTCTTGGCAAACAATTACTTCTCATCAAGGGCTTCCCTTCCCATGCCAAACATTATGAATTTGAACACTGGAATTTCTCTTCTTTTACCCAGTGACAGCTGTGTGCAGCATTCGTTTGCTGGCTGACAACTCCAGACTGTCTGTTGCAAATCTAGATGATCTTTCTTAATGCCCCATCACAGCTGTAGCTCCACAATTTAACTGAGAATCCAGATCAGCTTTTTCCAGTTATTCTGGATAGCATTTATAGTAATGAAATTATATCCTTTACTTTTCAATGTCTCTGTAATTTAACACGTGGTTTGGAGGGGGAAAAAAAAAATAAACCCATACATGCAATCTGAAAGGTTTTTAAGTTCTGCAGTGTTTGTAAACACAGTTATGCTCTTAATCAATAGATTAGGGCAGAAACTTAAAGACATTCTGTCCACTTTCTCATTAAAACAGCAAATTTGCATGGAAGGAAAATCATTCTTTTGTCCCTGCAGTTGCCTGATGTTAAAGTGGCTTTTGTGGGTTTTGAAACTGAATAAACCCAACGATACCCAGTACTAAAGTTCAGTTAAAAACATGAATGATTTTCACTTTTTAAGCAAAAAATGAAGGAAATTGTAATTTACTAAAGCATTACCACCAATTTAATGCCACCTTAGGAAAGGAATTTAGGAACACAGGATTACACATGTGACAAAATAATTCTCCTCTTCTTGCATCAAGAAGGAATAAAAAGGGGAAATGGTACTTTTTTTTTTGCACTGAAATGAACATAAAAGTCTGACAAAATCTGTATGACAACTCAAGTAATATTTCATTTCTGATGTTTTCTCTGTGAGAAAATTTTTCTAAAAACTGAATTCAACCTGCAGCTTAACTTCAGGTTACAGCACAACATGAAACTGTGTGTATTCCAGAAAAGTTGTTCTCAACTGATGTATCGAGATATCACAACACAAAAATAACATCATCCTTAAACTGAGTAATCTTCACAGCTCTTCATTTAGAGTGGGCGGAAATACTTTTTTTTAAAGCAACGTATGTACTGCCAGGACAACTATACTTCATGGAATGGTAAGATTAACTTGAATTCACATCTATGCTGTCTTTGAGTTTGTGAGATTTCTGCTAATAGCTGTAAAGCACAGAAAGTTACATATCTCATCTTAAGATGTTCTTAGGGATTCTTACCTGTTTTCTATTTGAATGGAAGCCAGTAGTATCCAGCACACTCCTGTCCACAGGCTAGAGGAAAAAAGTAAGCCTACATGTTAGAGGAAGATTTTTCTAAGAGAAGCTTTCATGCAACAAAAAGGTGGAGGTTTAATGATCAACTCACAGAAGATAGTGGAGTAGAAACAGAAGATGGAATCCTTTTAGCATCCTGTACAACAAATAGTACAATAAATTAATCTGGACATAACATAAAGAACATCTCTCCACTTTTACTGGCATATCTGCAGTTCTTAATAAACAGACGCAATTAAAAGCTGAGAGCCGTTTACCGCCAAAGGACTTGACATCTTCTCCAAAGACTGCAAGATGCGCCGTGCTGTGGAACTTGTCACACCATAGGATTGCACATTTGCTTGTTTAGCTTTCATTTGTCTTCTTACTGGTGTCTGAAAAATTAGCATTGTAAATGCTACTATGTTTGACTTTGAATTCAATATGCCTGTATGGCTAAGTAAATGACATAGCCAAGCCTAGTGATGGTAGACAAAAGCAAACTAAAGCCATAAAGCAAAAAATATACTCTACTGACACTGTAAGAGTTTAACAGGGACCCCTTGCACACCTTGAGCGAGGAATAAAGCAACACAAACAAAAGAAATGCTTAAATATAAAGGCGCAAGTAGAATTATTTGGGACTGTCAGGGTCTTTGAAACAGCAAGCAGGAAAAAAAGAACTCAAGCAAAGGCTGGTGCTGCAGAAAGAACTATCAGTAACAAAACAGACCTTCGAGTTTACTGATGGTGTAAGCATACATCTTAAAATCCCTGTATACCATCACCAGTAGGAATTTCTAGTTTTCTAGTCCTATGCTTCCTCCCCAGATTATCTTTGTAAATATTTTAACTCTGTTTAAAAAGAACTGATTTGTACTGTAGCAGAGCTAAGATTCAGTATTACATTGAAAATGTAAATTGTGGTGACTTTGAATACCATTCAAAAACTTTATTCAGGATATTTTTTATTGCATATTAAACCCCTCATGTGACTACATGATGCTGCCACATAAAGACTGAAAGCAAACCATACGACATGTAACAAGCAAGACTGTCTGTAATCCACAGTAAACATCAAACAAGCTAGTTTCTCCTTTTTTTTAAAAAAAAAAAGATGTTTTGGTTCCGATTTTCAGCATAATAGATGTTAACTTTTTAAATAAAAATAGCTGACCAAAACCTGGTTTGCTTGAAGTTTTGAGTCTTTTGAAGTTTGATTTAAAATTAAGTCAGAACAAACAAGTTTTCAAGATTTCCCAGAAGTCAAAAAGTTATAGGGCACCCCCTCCCAGGCTTCATGGCACAAAGAAACTACTGAAGTCCAGCAAACCCATGTTTCCTGTCCCTAAATAAAGATCCAGTCTGAACATTTTGATTCCAATGCACATACCCAGCAGATCAGATGTTATTGACTTGCTTTTAAATTCAACACTAACTACTGATAGTTGTCAGCATTTTTATTTGCTGGTTCTTTTTAGGATGCTAAGAACTCTTAAGGGCAAATAACCATTTTCAAGAGCTCCATGAATCATACTGAAATAGAAAGCAATTTATTATTTATCTTGAGATAGCATTTTGGACGGCATACCTCTCTCTAATAAGGATCAGCAAAACTGTCTTTTGGATATTATGAAAGAGTAGTTTTATAAAATATCCTTATGAGTGGGGGATTCAGGCAGGCTTGACTATTGTAACTCTTGCTATTGTAAGCACAAGTTTTCATAGTTATGCCATCATTGGCTTATTTTTTTTATTTTTTAAAGACTTAATTTCTTAACACAATATGGCATTGCATTAATATGTAATATGCTGTAAACATACAGCAATACAGTCAGAGACAAAGGCATTTGAATTTTTTTTTTTTTTTGAAACACTGAACAGAGGAAAGCACAACTAGAAACCGTTAGCTAGAACTAAGGGCTTACTGTAATTCTTTTTCATTAGGACCAAGAAGTAAAGGCAAATTTATCCTCCTCAAAATCGTCTTTTCTACTCTTGCAGGCTGCTAGCATAGGAACTGATAGCACTTCTTCAGCTCTTTCCTCACAGTCCTTTTGTGCATGTTACCCCATTTTGTACTTCAATCACAATTCCCCTCCCACTGCAACATTACTCTCATACCTGATAAGGAGCAATTCGCACCTTCGTCTGTCTCGCTGAGGCAGCTGCACCACCGTAAGTTGTTTTTCCAGGGTAAAACGGAGAATCCCCAAGCTGACTTGTCTTAAACACAGAAGTGTTTCCAAGTGACTGCAGAGATATATGTGGTTAGTAAAATGGATACACATTCAGCTCAGCTAAAAAATAATATACTGCGTAAATACTTACAGGAGAGAGAGCTCCAAAAGCAGACAAGTTGAATGCAGGTTTTTTAGAACTAGCTGCAGTGTGCTGTGAGAGGGAATGAGATCTTTCAGCCTCTGTGGACCATAGCGGTGGAGCCGATGTAGTTTTTGAAACTGCTATATCTGCCAAAAGGACATATGCAATATGTGAATAACTTATGTACTTGGAGAGCTTTTAATATTAAACAATCTCTCTAACTTCAGAGCTAACATAGAATACATTGTTCTCAGAGTTCTTCAATATAGATCAATTTCAAAAATTATATGAAATCCAAACATCAATCCTGAGTTCAAAAATCTGTTCACTGAATTAAGTATATAACTTTAATGTTTCAAAGCATTCATAGCAAATCAATACTATTCTTCAAACACAGAGCTATCGTTCCTTTTATTTCTTTTAATGGAAAAAAAGTAATGGGACTTCATAAAAACAGATGCACCTACTTTCCAATGTTGATAAAGAGTTGGTGGCCAAAACAGGCGAGAATTGCATGCGTTTAAAACCTGAAAGATTCCCCAAAGCCTGATCTAGAAGATTTAATGATCTGTTTTCCGTAAGATTTTTTTTTTTTTAAAGGAGAAAAACAAACAAACAAACAAACCACCAGAAAGAGCATTGGTAGACTCAGGTTGTATTGCCAAAGCCTGGCAATACCTACTCTCAACTTAACTTTTCCCACTTGGGGTCAGAAGATCCACTGATCATGCCTCAGACCTTAACTACACAAGGGACTAGAAAAAGCTGCAAAACTGCTGCTTGCCCTGCTGCAGAGAGATGACCCAGGTCTCCAACTGCTCCTGGCAAAACTCAGAAAAGCATCTTGTGTTTCTTTTTGTCGCCTAGAATTATTCACATGCAAGCAGCTGTCAGTTAGATAATGAGTCACCCCTCTGTCCAGGCCATCAACCTAGTTCTCCAGAGACAGTGAGTCATGTTCAGTTCAAGGCTTACATGTCACCTACTCCAAGGCACTGTATTTCAGTACTGACTTTTTGAGTAACATCAGTCTCATAAATGTATTCTTAAGCATGGTTTTAATAAAAAGGTGACATGATACTTCTAAAATACTAAAAGATTAATTCCAATATCCAAAACTGGCATTTGTCTGCTTTATGTACTAAGGTGACATGAAGTATCAAAGAATGCAAAGTCTTTTACATTGTGAAAAAAAAATAAAGTTAGATTGAGAAAATAAAAGTTACCTTTATCAGATGCTCTAGAGGAGAAGCCACTAGTTGTTGAGATGTTATCATCATCATGCTGAGAGGTAGAATCTTTTATTTCTTTTACAAGAGAGAGTCCAGGACTGCCGATGCCAAGTGCAGAAGATGTAGAGGGCTGACAGTGTGGTACTGTGGAATCCAACATGGTACAGTTCAAATGGCTCCGATGAAGGGAGGGCCTTGTTAACACATCCGAAAAGTTTAATGCAGATCTACTCGTGGATGGTTCTAAACAAGAGCAGAGGGATGATCAGCTTTCTCATAGGCAAGCTCACAGAAGTCAAAACATGTTTTCTATCAACACTTAGGCTATTGCCAAGTTTTTGGTACAAAAATAGTGAAGCCGGATTTAACTTCTTCCTCACCCATACAGGGTTTCATTTAACTGTCTGATTACAACAGCAACACTGCTTACAATAATAAATATTCACGTCGTGCTAAGAGGAAGTTGAGTGTGAGGTTTTAAAACACACTAAACTGATCCCGCACTCGAGTGCTCCAAGATTTTCTTTCACTGAATCAAACATTCAGAGTTCTTTCCCTTGCAACAAGATTTACAAGATATAACCTTTCACTCTTACAGAGCAAGAGCTAAAGACACCTCTGCATGTTTTATGACCTTGCAAGAAAGAAAATGCCAAGTATGTAGCACGAAAACACATATATACAGTATTTTTTCACATTCTACAATATCAAGCAAAACATTACATCCTATCCACTAATTCTTTGAGACTTTGACACAAAAGTAAAGTGAGCATCCCTGCCTCAGTAACAACATGAGCACTTTTTCCCCCTCTTAAACAGAAAACTGTGTGAACACTGCCAATGTCCTGGAGTAGGAAGTCTCACAGCTCGGGCTTATGAAAGGAAGGAAAAAATTACTAACGGCCTAACATAAGTCCACAGCCTCTCAGGATTTCTGGGAAAGATAATTTGAAGTCACCACCCTCATGATATTTGCACTGAAACTTGAAGCACCTAGTTCCAGCTTTATAGCCACTGCAGCACTGCTAACCAGCTTCCCAAAGCCCTGGCAGGCAATCAGGGCACCACTGTTTTGGATAAAGTGTTTTAGACTGAAGGCCAGCTCAGCAAAGCAATACAGGCTCTAGCACACTGATACTTCAGAGCTGATAAAAACTGGCTTTTCTTAGGAGGAGGAGAATTTGTGGCATTTTGTTTGTTTTTATGTGAGAATAGCAAGTAAGATTTGTATGTGCAACCCCCAGCCTGCAACATAAGCTATGAGAGGTTCCAGGGTGCCCATCTGCCCCTGAGCTCTTTGAGTTTGCTGCACAGCTGTTATTACTGAAAGGTCCTTTCACACATTTCCTTATAAAATCCAACACATGTTCATCAGTCATGAAGAGCTCCTCTGTTCCTTTATCCAAACTTACTCTTAAACTACACCTACCCTGAAAGTTTCTTACTGATAATTAGGTGGCATTGCAGGTTAAGTTATTTCTTCATATTTTTCTATTCAGCAACTAAGGAAAGCAACTGACTTTGCATGCATAGATGGTTATCTACGTATGCTCGGTCAGGAGATCTCCCTGTTAAAAAATAAGGTGTGCAAAACTGCCAGTTTGATAGATACTCAGATGAGAATACATGCAAATTTGCACAGCAGAACTAGAGAAATAATCAGTGGCAGACTCTGGATATAAAACACAGATTAATCTTTTATACAGTACTATAAAGAAAGGAAACTTCTTTACTAAGTAACTTATCAAAGATGGCAGGTACTAACCATACCCAGGCACTGGTTCTCCATTAAACCAAAAAAGAATTTCTCTACATTGACAAAAGAAGCCCAAACAAATGAAGACATAAGAAGAATGAACCTTCCTCTGGCACGCCAGCATTATCAGCAGCTCTTTTTCTGAGGGCTACAAACCATATACACACACACACACATATATATATTTTAAAAACCTTGAAAAATTTGATAAACTTTCATTCCAGACCTTGGCAGGGTAGAAGGAACCGTGAACACTTGTAAATGGGCATTATCAACATTTTGCACCCGGTTAATAGGGTACATTAAGTGATCTGATGAATTCCAAGAGCTGAAAGACATCCTCCAGAATATACATGGTTCACAATTACCTTTACAGTTTAAAGCTAAAACAGTTTCACAAATATGGTTCTTTGAATTTTGCCAGAACCCTCTTTCCAGCTGCCTTTAGAAATTCAATTTTGAAAGTAGAAATCTGTGAATAAAGACAGATGGCCAGAATATGAATGTTTTTTTCCACATACCTTCTAAATTAATTCTTGCTGATTCAGGCGTGACTCTCCCATCAATCACTATGGTATCTTCATCTGGATAATCATGATGAAAATTTACCGGATTCTCTTCCTGGTTTGTAGATTCATTTGTATCTACACATTCATCTTCACTTTTATTGAAATACTTCTGCAACCATCCTGGTACAATGTTTTTCACTGATTCTGTCACTCTGCTAATGATTCCCTGTTTAAAAGGGAAAAACAAACAGTTAATTATAGAAAAACCTTCAACAGTTTACTCCAAAATGCCATTTCCACAGACCTTAAAGGCAGATATTGGGTATCAAATTTTTGTAACTAGAATAAGAAACAGGATCCTTTACAGAGGATCTCTGTACTTCTAGGACACATGACAAAAATTCACCTATTTTCTACCACCTATTGGTTTCTGCACTTCCTGATCATCTGGGCAATTCCCAAACTTATGAAAGTTCAGTGAAAGTTAACCAAAATCCTGTCAATTCAGAAAGCCACTTGGAACATGATTTCCATCTAATTCCTAATAGGCGTACTTGTTTCAGGGCTCCTCCACCCCATGTCCTCACTTGAAATCCATCAAAAACAGAAGCTCAGCAGTTTCTGCGACAACCATGCTATCTGTTCAAAATATTGAATGAATATAGTGAATATAATATTTTGGAGTATTTTTCTAATGCTGAACTGCAGCTACCAAAAGCATCAGAAACCACTGCTGTGCTCTGAACATGGTACCCTGAGAGAAGCCCCAGAAGAAAAACAAAGCTATAGTTAATAGCAGATGCCTTACTACAGGATTGTTAATGGATCCACTTGGATTAAATTTCCTTTCACAGTACATTAACATAGTGGAGCTCTAAATTAACTTTCTGCAATTATTGTAGAAAGCCATTTCCATTTTGCCATCTACCTACTCTTTGCTTGCATTCTACGCTTAGGAAATACATACTTGCCATTTCATTTTACTCGGTCACTTTTTCCCTATGATTTCCCCAACATTTCAACACATTTGGTCAAATCTCAGGCCTGGGTGGCAGATCCCTTCTTTGCAGCACTGAGGAACCTCCCTCTTGCACTCACTGCTGCTACGCAACTAGCTGGGAAGGCACACTGGCAACGTGAAAGCTAGCCTGGCAAATTCACGCTGAAAACTGAAAAGATTGAAGAGCTTTTTTTTTTTTTTTTGAACATTATCAGTTTGATAACATGTAGATCAAAGGCTCTGGCACAGTACTCAGAGATTTATCTGATTTTAGGCAACAGGTGGTAAAAATTATTACTTGGGCATAGAAGTGGACAATGATTTTTCCAGTACTTCACAGTACTGCTAAAGATTTTCCCAATCATCGAACAAGATATCACTGGCCTTAAAATAGGCCTGTACAATTACCTCACTGAAGAAATCCTCCAAACACTGAATTTACCTACGGTCTACTCGACACTTAAGCGGAAGAAGACCAGGCGCCCAGGAGAGTAAACACACAAGCATCTTTAGCATCCCAAACAAGTAACTGGAGAATCTAGCTAGACCAACAGCAAATCGAGATGACATTTTACCATCCATATCTAAATATAGCCTGGCTTGGCTCTTTCTCTGTCCCTATGGGAGCCTCGCTATCCTTCATCACATCAGCAGGACTTCAGTCGTAAACTCAACGCAGGGCAACATCTCAGCTCATTCCAAGGGCTGGTGCTCGGTGACGCTGGAGGTGCTGAGAGGCAGGAGGTCATTGCTGCTGAGGTGCAGCAGAGCCCGTGCACGCTGGAGCAAAGGTGCTGTTACACACGCGCACTCTGGACAGGGCACTTGCTCAAGGCGCCATGCCTTGCGCTGCTTTTAAAGTGGGTGTTTTAACTTTAACTTTTAATCTGATTCCTCTCTCCCTACTCACTCCTGTGGCACCAGCTCCATTCCCCTACCCATCGCTGGTGCCCCACTGAGCTCCCTGATGCCCTACACTGAACCCAGCACTGTGCCAGGGCAGGAGATGCCCCAGGACAACCCTAAGTTGTCCTAAAACAGCAGGGTTTTACTTGCTGAGCCTGTTTGAGCGCTTCGGCACATTAACAACTCACTGACTTCAGCAGTTTGAGAGATGCTGCCAGGACCAACAGTTGCCTTCTCTGTTTAAATGCATCCATATCCTATTCTCATTCTAATACCAGCAGTAAAGCAGAACTTACAAAAAAAGAGAAATCCTCAACAAAGACCCAACAAATCTATATATATAAACACCACGGTAACAACAGCTACAGCTACTCAAAGCTTATTTCCTTGTGATGCCACTCTGAAGGAAAGATAAGGAGATAGGAATGCTAACCATCATACAAATAAACTTTATAAAGAGCAGTTCTTCAAAGGATTTATATAAAGAAGCAAAAATCACCTGATCATAGTCTCCATTTGAATCCCAAACTTAAAAGCAAGCTATTTCTTGGCTAAAAACACTTTAGAAATGGGACAGTTTTCTTAGTTTATAAGGGTCTTTTATACAGCAATATGGAAAAAAAAAGTGCTGGCAGGAGTAGTCAGAAAGTGCATTACTGGCAAGCATCTATTTTTGTAATTGAGTAGATTTCAATTTAAAAGGATTAAGTGGATCCTAGAGTAGAACATGGAACACACTAAAAAACTACACATAAAGGTCACATAATATCATGAGGTCTTCAGTGATGCAGGAGCTTTAACCTTATAAAAGAGCTAATTTCCATCTCACTATATGCACTTTTCAAAGCATCAAGCTTTTGCCTCCAGGCCAATTTATAGATTCTTTATTTTCCTTCTCATTTTGAAGTTCAAGTTATTAAAACATGAATCTGTAGGCGCTCAAAAAGAAACCCTGCAAGCTACAGCACCGAAAGGTAAAGTTGGCCGAGATGGGGCAGGTCAAGCCAAGCACTTCCAGTCATCCCGCAGGAATGTTCCTCTGCCTCCATCCCTGCCACACTACCTTGCACCAGCGCTGGAGCGTAGCCGACCGCCCTCTGTGCTCACTGAATTCAGGAATCTGGCAAAAAGAGCATGCGTCTCCGCTGGACTAATGAGCTCCGCTGGCCCAGCGCACCAGAAGTGGCCCCAGAGTGGGAGAGAAGAGGCAGCGAGGACGAGGCAAAGGGGGACGCGACTCTTCCCTTCTCCACGCAGCCTGTGCCTGCACTGCCACTAACACTGCCCTGCTCTTCCCATCACCTCTGTCCACCAGCTTAAACCAACTGCGCTCCTGCTGTTTAGGGAGCACCTGCAAACTGGATGGGGGACAGGCAGAGTTTGGTATTTCCCTTCTTAAAGACAATAAAACTTATGTCTTAATATGAGCAATATCTTACAGGAACCCTACTAATTACGTAGTGCTGGGGGGAAAAAAAAGAAAAAACACAAAACAAAAAACCACAACCTTAGTAGTGCAATCGGACTGATTCAACTTTAGTTCTAAAAATCACAAAGAACTATGCTTCTCGACACCAGCATATTTTCTCTTTTATTGCGTGAAGACAAGCTCATTTTCCTTAGCCTCGTTAGCTTCGGAATGAATTCCCGGGGAAAAGGCCGTGCTAGCACTGCTTTGCACTATGGTGCTGCCTGCGGATCTGCGCCACGGAAGCAGCCGCCGCTCGCTGCCGTTTCCATGCGAATGCAGGAAGGCAGCACCTGCTCCCACGGGCAAACCGGCCTCTGAGCTGCCACGCCGTTACAGGCGCGCGACACCGCACGGTTTTAACTCACATCTTGCCCACACCTTCAGCTGGCACTGAACGCTTCTAAAGAAAATGCCAAGTATGGGACATTTTACTGCTTTTTTTGTTAAGGAGCAGCAGTCCCTAAGAAGGGACCAAAAAACAGCTAATATTTCACTGAAGGCCTCGTTCGTGCTTAGTGCACATACAGCTAAGTTTCAAAGATGGTGCTTTAAGCTACATTAAAAGAAATGCAGCTCCTATTTAATGAGCATAACGATAGCTAAAACAACACATAGCTCCTGATTAAAATTATCGAAAAATACATTTCCCATAGCAGCGGCTGGTTTTGACAAGGCCACTGGAACAAAGAAAAGAGATTTAGCAAAGTACATACAGCAGTATTTAAATACACAGTTCAGACACAAAAATACCTATCTTATTTAAGGCAGTTCTCCTTATAAGACCCCATTCATTGAAGTACCTCCGTATTGCCAAACATATCTGTTAGTAGAAAGGGCAAACTCTCCCTTTGCCCCGGTTCACTGTTAGCTATACACAGAAAGGCTTTCAATGTATCATCTCCCAATCCACCAATTTGCTCTCTGCTAAAATGTCCTAGATTGCCAGGAACGATTTAAACAACATTTAACTATTGCTTTACCTAAAAGCGCACGCAGACAAGTACGATCCCATAGGCTAACCCAAGGCACATAGCAGTGAGGACACCTTTTGTGTGTAAAACAGAAATACGGACAAGCCAAACTCCACAACAACTTTGCAATGGCGGCTAAGAGCCATTCGAGGGCAACTCAACTTACTGACACCACCCCCAGGCCAAATGCTCTCAAGAGCAGACACAGCTTTACAGATAACATGAAGCAGATCTCATAGAAACCAAGTACTTTCTACTACAGTATTTCACTACCCTACTTTGGAGCAGCATTCCAAAATAACTAAACTGTAACATGAAAATTACATGAAATTATATTTTTCAAAGTAAATGTCGTGGTAATAAAGGTTAGCAAAGTGCTTTTATGCTGTTCTGAAATAACTGTTCTAACCATGCTGATCTACAACTGAGCCGACAGCAGGAAATACCAGAGGGCTTGTGAAGGTAACGTATCAGGAATTGTTAATGTAAAACAGTTCAGTTGCACATTGATCATGTTATCTTATTCATAATCATTTTAGTTTTTTAATGACAGTTATTTTCTTATTGATCACAGCACTTAGCAAAGTCAAAACAAAATTTTGGAAATTCCGCAGAGTATTTCCTTAATTCCTAACAGTTATCTTGCTACAGACCTGGAGACTGACCATGGAAGTTAGGATGAAGTAACTAAGGAATCACCACTAGGTATTCTATGTGAACACCTAGATTTTAGCAAAACTCAAAGCCTCCCTACTTTTGAAGCATCAAACTGGCTCTCTGTCTAGTGTATAAAAGTTAAACCTCACAACTCAACTCTATCTACAGAAGCTGCAAGTAATTTCAATTGGATCTGGGAGGTTTTTTAATTATATTATGTTTGCCCCTGCCTATGCTCCCTGACCAGCTTTAAAAATACAAGTGCTGCTCAGATCAAATTTTAAAAAAAAAGGTTTTTTTAGAAATTGTAGGCAGTAACATCTACAATTTTGTATATATTTTGCAATTCTGCTAATCAAGTAACATTATAAATGCTAAAGATTAGAATGGTTGCACTATAATAACAATTTAAAATGTATCTAGTTACACTAGGGTCAATCCCTAACACACATATATTTAAGCCAGTTTAAACCTTGTTTGTATCTGTTTAGCTTAAGATGAGTTCAACTACAAATACACCTAACATTACAGGTTTGTGCATATTTCTATCACATGAGGCCACCAGTCCTAGAACTCTAGTAGGGAAGGAGCCTGTCTGCTTCAGAAAAAGAAGACATTTTTTGCTCAGAACACAATCCTAACCTAAAAGCAAAGTGAGCCAACTTCTCCTCAGCGGCAGGGCTACATGGATAATGATGGACAACCTGGGCTAGAAGAATGAGCTCTTTGCAAAGCCAGCGCGCCATAAGTCACCACAGCAGGACCTCGGCACGTGTTAACATGTGCACGTTTCCCCTACAAAGAAACTTCCAAAGATTATCTTGAATGCTCCTTGCTTGGAAAAAATGGAAACAACCACGACCAAGCCAAAGACACACAAAGCTCTGTTGCTAAATGCAACACACAATTACTAGGTGAATTATAAAAACTCAAAAAAAAAGTTCTGCAACAACAACAACAGAGCAAATCTTACAGGTAGAAGATCTTTTTAATAATTACTTTTATACAGTAATGTAGCATATGACAACAACAGAGTTGTATCGGCAACTTGCAAAACTATTTCTTCTTCAGGCAAAGCCCGACAGGCTCGTTGGTGCCTGCCGTCCCTCAGATTTAAGATGACCCAACTGACTTTGCCTTGAGGAGTTTGGAGCTCACTCACACGGCCTCTTCCACTAACGAAGCTCTAACATCTTCCACCAAAAGTGGTGACACGCAGCTGGGAGCAGTACTAGCTTTACATGGCTTTACGCGTGCGCACATATGCACATACTTACATGTTTATACATACACACATATACATATATATGTTCAAACACACAGTATATTAAAACTAAATTTCAATTGCATCTTCAACTAAACTGCTTGCCTACAGACAAGACTTGTACCATTCAGGCATCAGAAAAAAGCAAGTAAAGGGTTTTAAGCAGAATTATAATTAAAAAAAAAAAAAGGAACAGGGAAGGTAGTAGCAAGAAATAGAGAGACATGGCAAGGAATACATTCAAAGTTAGTACAATTATTCATAAAAGTGAATGAAAAAAAAAAAAAAAAGGGGAAGGTAGTAGCAAGAAATGGAGAGACATGGCAAGGGATACATTCAAAGTTAGTACAGTTATTCATAAAAGTGAATAAAACACATAAATCAATGGATAACTTTTTTTAATACTAACAAGAAAGAATTAAAAATAGCTTAAATTCTTCGCTAAAGAATTAGCAAGTATGCTAAATATTTTTAACGAAGACACATACTGTATGTTTTTTTCAATTTAACAACTGGAAAATGGGAAAAGTCTATCACATCTACCAACTCCTAAAAATAAATAAATAAAACAGAAGATGCTTAGATAAATAGTTCAAGAAAGAACAATCTTACAGGAAGGCCTCTTAGCTACGCTCTCCCTGAGGGGAACCCTACAGGTTTCTCTGTATGAAAT